ATGCGAATACACATACCAGTGTATATATTATGCGAATACACACACCAGTGTATATATTGTGCAAATACACACACCAGTGTATGTGTTATATATCCATTTCCATGTATGCCATATTCTGACTCATGCAGGTGACAGCTAAAGGGTCTTAAAAGTATGTCTATATATGCATGGCTACGCATGTATGCACCCTTGTGACTCTTGCAGGTGACTGCTTAAGGGTCTTAAATAGATGTGTTATATATCCATATCTACATGTATGCACCCTTATGACTCATGCAGGTGACAGCTCAAGGGTCTTAAATAGATGTATTATATATCTATGTCTAAGCATGTATATATCCCTTTTGACTCATGCAGGTGACAACTAAAGGGTCTTAAATAGATGTGTTATATATGCATGTCTAAGCATGTATGCTCCCTTATGACTCATGCAGGTGACAGCTAAAGGGTCTTCAATAGATGTGTTATATATCCATGTCTAAGCATGTATGCACCCTTATGACTCGTGCAGGTGACAGCTAAAGGGTCTTCAATAGATGTATTATATATCCATGTCTAAGCATTTATGCACCCTTGTGATTCATGCAGGCGACAGCTAAGGGGAGTGCCGAGGGGCAGGTCTCAGACGACTTCTTCCACGCGTTCATTGCGTCGATATCGGTCATCATCGTATCGGAATTGGGCGACAAAACATTTTTTATTGCTGCCATCCTGGCCATGAAGCATTCGCGGTATGCAAGCGAGATAGCGTTTGTTTTAATAGTACGGGTGTAAGGTCGGCGGAGGAGATATATCATTGATGGAATGTTCGCGGGTGTCTTTTTACGGGTTGTGATCTGTGATTTAGTGGACATGATTTGGGTATATATTTAGGTTTGTTTTAGGGTTTTAGGAACCCTAAAACTATATATGTCCATGTGCTATTGCAATTATCAAGTGGTTCGCTTCGCATATATATATATATACATACATAAATACACACACACACACACACACACACACTACACAC